TGAGAGAGGGTGGGTTTTGGCTTGTGACGTCAGTGATGATAAGTATTTTTTTAAGGGCTGCCAGGGTGCTGTCACTCAGAAGTAGAGATAAAGACCCCTGTTGCAGATAGATATGGATGCACACAGGCGCACAAACACTGTAGCTATAGCAGGTCCATGACCACTTTAGCAGGGTCCAGTGGCAGTCGTGAAAGAGCTATGCCAAAGTTTTGCAGGTAAGATTTCATAAAAAGTAAAACTATATCGGCAAAGAGCACTTAAGTATCAAAAATACAGTATGTGCTAACACAGAAATTCAGATAATTATAATCTTCTGCTGATTGAGGTGGAACTATCTTTAACAAATTATTATAATGTATGACTTAAATCTATGCTGATGCATTATTTATTATAATATAACCTGTTGCTGATCATTTGTTTTGCATGTAATTGTTCAGGGTTTGCAATGGCAAATCCTGCAGCATAAACTCAATGACATTTCTTCAGTTTTTTGTTAGTCATACACAGATGACAAGAGATGGAAATGGTGTTTAAAGGTTCACCAACAGTCCTAAACTCCAGGTTGAATTTTAAAGGTAGCTTTATGGTCACTATGGTAGCAATGCTGTAATGCCACATTTGAACCATTTGCTGTCCAATACAGAATCATGAGGGCTGGTTTTCTTTTAGACAGTTTTTCTAATTCAGGGACAGGACCAACCCAGTTTCATGTACTCGCTTCACACTCACCTCTACATAAATTTCCTGAAATTTATTCCCACTCTTGCTAAACAGATCTTCCATTTATTCATATATTGTCAAATCTTTCACACAGCGGAAAATAAACAAATACAGTGCCTTGCGAAAGTATTCGGCCCCCTTGAACTTTGCGACCTTTTGCCACATTTCAGGCTTCAAACATAAAGATATAAAACTGTAATTTTTTGTGAAGAATCAACAACAAGTGGGACACAATCATGAAGTGGAATGAAATTTATTGGATATTTCAAACTTTTTTAACAAATAAAAAACTGAATAATTGGGCGTGCAAAATTATTCAGCCCCTTTACTTTCAGTGCAGCAAACTCTCTCCAGAAGTTCAGTGAGGATCTCTGAATGATCCAATGTTGACCTAAATGACTAATGATGATAAATAGAATCCACCTGTGTGTAATCAAGTCTCCGTATAAATGCACCTGCACTGTGATAGTCTCAGAGGTCCGTTTAAAGCGCAGAGAGCATCATGAAGAACAAGGAACACACCAGGCAGGTCCGAGATACTGTTGTGGAGAAGTTTAAAGCCGGATTTGGATACAAAAAGATTTCCCAAGCTTTAAACATCCCAAGGAGCACTGTGCAAGCGATAATATTGAAATGGAAGGAGTATCAGACCACTGCAAATCTACCAAGACCTGGCCGTCCCTCTAAACTTTCAGCTCATACAAGGAGAAGACTGATCAGAGATGCAGCCAAGAGGCCCATGATCACTCTGGATGAACTGCAGAGATCTACAGCTGAGGTGGGAGACTCTGTCCATAGGACAACAATCAGTCGTATACTGCACAAATCTGGCCTTTATGGAAGAGTGGCAAGAAGAAAGCCATTTCTTAAAGATATCCATAAAAAGTGTCGTTTAAAGTTTGCCACAAGCCACCTGGGAGACGCACCAAACATGTGGAAGAAGGTGCTCTGGTCAGATGAAACCAAAATCGAACTTTTTGGCAACAATGCAAAACGTTATGTTTGGCGTAAAAGCAACACAGCTCATCACCCTGAACACACCATCCCCATTGTCAAACATGGTGGTGGCAGCATCATGGTTTGGGCCTGCTTTTCTTCAGCAGGGGCAGGGAAGATGGTTAAAATTGATGGGAAGATGGATGGAGCCAAATACAGGACCATTTTGGAAGGAAACCTGATGGAGTCTGCAACAGACCTGAGACTGGGACGGAGATTTGTCTTCCAACAAGACAATGATCCAAAACATAAAGCAAAATCTACAATGGAATGGTTCACAAATAAACATATCCAGGTGTTAGAATGGCCAAGTCAAAGTCCAGACCTGAATCCAATCGAGAATCTGTGGGAAGAACTGAAAACTGCTGTTCACAAATGCTCTCCATCCAACCTCACTGAGCTCGAGCTGTTTTGCAAGGCGGAATGGGCAAAAATTTCAGTCTCTCGATGTGCAAAACTGATAGAGACATACCCCAAGTGACTTACAGCTGTAATCGCAGCAAAAGGTGGCGCTACAAAGTATTAACTTAAGGGGGCTGAATAATTTTGCACGCCCAATTTTTCAGTTTTTTATTTGTTAAAAAAGTTTGACATATCCAATAAATTTCGTTCCACTTCATGATTGTGTCCCACTTGTTGTTGATTCTTCACAAAAAATTACAGTTTTATATCTTTATGTTTGAAGCCTGAAATGTGGCAAAAGGTCGCAAAGTTCAAGGGGGCCGAATACTTTCGCAAGGCACTGTATATATATACTTATTACTTTATTATTCCAGCAATGTACCTGATGACCAGCAGGGCGTAGGCGTTAATTGCCCAGACTTTATAAAGCTACAGCATAGATCTATATATCTACCTCAGATCATCCTCATGAATGCATCACAGATTTATTAATCTGCACCTCTCTGATATTATCTCATCTCCAAAACAACACTTTA